AAAGGCAAAGGCACAGAGCACCCAGTTAGTGCCTCAACAGGCTGTGGCAAAGAAGTCAAAAGGTAGATGCCACAAATGCAATAAGTCAGGGCACTGGAAGGTCGATTGTCCTCTCCTCAAGATGGGCAAAGAAGGTAACTCTCATACTTCCGTCGTAGAAACATGTTTAGCGGTTGTATCTACCAGTACCTGGTGTGTAGATACTGGAGCCACTGATCATGTCTGCAATTCTTTGCAGGGGTTCCAGGAAACCAGGCGGCTTAGGGATGGAGAGATTACAGTCTACATGGGCAATGCTACGAAAGTAGCAGCAGTTGCAGTGGGAGTAGTTACTTTAGTATTTGATGCTAGTATTTTGGTTTTGAACAATTGTCTGTTTGTTCCAAGTTTTAAAAAGAATTTAATTTCAGTTTCTAAACTCGTTTTGAATGGTTATTCAGTTTCGTTTAATAACTCAGTTGTTATTCGTTATGGTAATCATTTGATTTGTTCTGGTTCAATGGTTGGCAATTTATATGTTCTGAAACCAAAGTCTCCCACACTGCAACAAAATGAATCGAATAATGTCTCGACTAAAACTAATAGGAGAAAAGAGTCTTCGATGAATCAAGCATATCTTTGGCACCTTAGGCTTGGGCACATCAACCTTAGGAGGATTAAAAGGTTGGTATCTACTGGGCATCTTGGTCCAGTAGAAGATCATTACCAGACTTGCGAGTCCTGCCTAGAAGGTAAGATGACCAAGAGGCCGTTTTCGGCAAAGGGGCGAAGGAGCCAAGAAGTGCTAGGATCGATTCATTCTGATTTTTGTGGTCCTATGTCGATCCAAGCTAGAGAAGGCTATGAGTATTTCGTCACTTTTATTGATGATTATTCTAGATATGGGTACATTTACTTGTTGCACCGCAAGTCCGAATGCTTTGAAAAATTCAAGGAGTATAGGACAGTTGTGGAGAAACAACAAGGTAAAAGTATCAAGTGTCTTCGATCTAATCGAGGAGGCGAATACCTCTTTGGAGAGTTTAGGACATACCTATCAGAAGCAGGGATTGAATCCTAGCTGACTGCACCCGGCACGCCCCAGCAGAACGGGGTTGCAGAGCGAGAAACAGAACTCTTATGGAAATGGTTAGGTCGATGATGAGTTATTCGAAGTTACCAGATTCGTTTTAGGGATTTGCATTAGAGACAGCATGTTACATTCTGAATTATGTTCCTGCAAAATCAGTAGACAGTACTCCTTATGAGTTGTGGAAAGGGCGCAAGCCTAGTTTCTCACAAATTCGAATTTGGGGTTGCCCTGTACATGTCTTAGTGCAGGAGGCTGGCAAGTTGGAGAAACGATCAGAAGTGAGACTGTTTCTCGGCTATTCCAAGGAAACGAAAGGTGGTTTATTTTATAGTCCTGAGGATCAGAAGGTGATCGTTAGTACGAACGCTAGATTCTTGGAAGAAGACTATATCATAGATCATAAGCCCAGTAGTAAACTTATCCTAGAGGAGTAAGGGAGAGATATCGATAGTTCCCCACCGAGTGCGCAAGTAGATACATCACATAGTACTGCAACACGTAACACTGATAGTGTGCCAGTACAAATGGTACCTCGTCGTAGTGGGAGGGTTTCTACACAACCCGGCCGATGGATAGGTCTTGGAGAGTCATCGGACTCAGTTCCAGGAGACCTAGAATCGGACCCAAGAACATATGACGAGTGTAACATCCCGCTCATCAGAGTAAATTTTTCGCAACTTATTTTGAAAATACTTAAATTTTTCGAAACCTTCTTAACTCGGGATGCTACTAACTTATCTAAAAAATCTGTTTACTTCAACTTCATCTAACAACTAAATTAGACATAAATAAAACAGATTTTAAACATTGAACAAATATAAAAACTTAACAGTTCATACAATCAACTTGATAAATCAACCTTTAAAATCACACTTAAAATCACACTTATTCAAATCTTAAAGAAACGTAGCGGAAATCTTACAAGCGTGGTTTACAAACCGAAACCTTATTGAAAATTCTCAATAGAAACTTATTCACATCCACGACCACCACAACTCCTCACACCTGCGCACTGTCTTTAATTCCTGAAAAAAAATGATAATAGTGGGGCGTGAGTATTAATCAACTGTACTCCGTAAAAACCCATACTAAAGTAAACGGCAATAATAATATCAATATCATAATCTTTGGTATGTATCTAAGCTTAATCTTTCGGTATCTAACCGATACTTTAACTTGAACTTTGCAACTACCGGTAACTTGGGCCGGTTCTCACGTGATCACATTCTGGGGGTCGCCTCCCACAGAATCCAGTCTTGACTGAGCGAGCTTAATACTTTACTTAACTGTATACATACCTCGAACATGATAATAGCTATTATACTCAATGTAATACCCAGTCTGGGTCCCCACCTTTTCTTGTTGAAAACTTTTGAAAACTGTAAGTGCTGTACTGATAGCTGTATCTGCAACTACATAAAAATATAAACAAATATACTAAGTACTATGCTCATTATACTTACTAATATACTCGGATACTCACATCTATCAGATAACTTATCCGAATATAAAAGAATACTCTAGAGATCATACTAAGTCCGGATTTAAATTGGTATACTTAAACTGAACCGAAACTTAATCATTTTCATACTCTTCAAACTTTCACATTAATTAATATAATGAGAAAAACTAAAATCATATGCTATAACTCAATTCACCTCATTTTAATCTTAACTTTAAAATATGTATTCTCAACATATATATAAAGTTACCTTAAATAAAATTTCACTTTAAAATAATATTCATATCTTGAGATATATTATTTCAAAGTTGAACTATATCAAAACATTCAATTTACTTGCATACTTGTCTTTAAAAATCTATATCTCATGCTACAATTATCTAAAAATTCTAAAACTTTATATCTTAATTCTCAACTAAATGAAGAAATATTCTGTAAATTTTCTCATAAAAATAATAACCATAAAGTGAGATATGAATTTTCAAATAATGTTTGTCTTACTGAAATTCGAGATTTACTCACTTATGTTCATTATTTTCTATAGCATCTTAAACAAGTCCAATAAATATAAAATTTAAACTGGAAGTTTTTAACTAATATATGAATTGACCATAAAATTTCCAACTCAAAATAATATCAATAGATAGGGTAATTCAATACCACAAATCATCATTACTACACAGATTTTTCACTGGACAACACCTTAATAAAAGATTTAAAATTCATTTTAACTCCGACTAATCTAAAAATTTCCAGTATTATTTTCAACATAATGATTATCTTATATAAAAATTTTCATAATTTTTGGAACTCAATAGCTTGGTCAAAAACAAACAAACATAGGCTGCAACATGATGAACTTTAAATAATCTTGTTTTATATACTTATATATATAAAAATTATAATTTCTTAACATAACAACATATTAATAACACGTATAAACACTTATAATTCTTAACTATACTTGATGATATTAAAGTTGTATAACATACCTTTTCCAATCTTGAGAAAACAAAGCAATGAAACTTGATTCACATTCTCTCAAAATTGCTCGATTCCTCTCGTAACTACTCGTTTCTTACTATTTCTTGCTCTTTGAATATTTATAAAATTTTTAGTGCTTCTAAAATCTGATTCTAAGGCCCTCTATTTATAGGCATAAGAGCTCTTCATTGTTGATAAAACTCCTCACCAAATTTGTTTAGAAATTAATATAAAAACTTAACTTGAATTAATATAAAAATATGATTTTGATGGCTCATAAATACTCTCTAAAATAGGACAAATATGCTGATTAATGATGATAATAATGCTCCCATAGCTGATATAAAAATTGGCCCCATTTTTATTTAAAAACACTTAGAAAGTTTTTTAGTAAAAATGATGACAAAACATCATTTAATGCTTTATTTATTTATTCATTTCTTAATATTCAGCTCTTAATTTTAAAATAAAAATAATACTTCATAATTATCTTGTAATATGGTAAAAAAAAACAAGAAAAATAAAATTTACTGAACTAAATTTGGACTTAAAACGAACAATTACCGTAAAACCGAAAATTCTAAAAATTCGGATTTCTCTCTTTTGCTTTTGATTTTTTTTTTCATAACTACTTTGAGATTGTGATAATTTTCTCTTGTAAAAACCATACTAACTTAATCTTGAAAATAATTTACTTATCATCTATAAACTATTAATAACTTTTACCTATTTACTGAATAACTTCTACTGATTTACTGACTTACTAAAAATATGGGGTATTACAATCTACCCCCCTTAAAACTATTTCCGCCCTCGGAAATACTGGAACTGGGATACATATTATCTGAGTATATATTAAAACTTAAAATCTGGAACTCTAACATCAGCTTATCACTCCCAAATGGCATTTTATTCTTCGTGGCAATTCTATTTTATACGAACGAGGGAAATATCTCAATTCCTTAGCCGATTAACTTTTTGGTCCAAAACAAATACCGACGGTTCCTCGTAAGTTAAAACTTGTTGAATCTAAATCTCATTGTGCTAAAGCACATGATTTGGATCGCTCAAGTATACACGTATCATCGATACGTGAAAAACATTACACATACTAACCAACTCGGGAGGTAATGCTAAATGATAGAATACTTCTTCTACTCGTTCAAGAACTTTGAACGGACTTATACAAAAGGAATGCAACTTACCAAACGACACTTCTCATTAGTCGAACTATCTAAAAGACTTTATCCATGTCTAAGTAAAATTTTCTACCAATTATGAGCAGTCTTGAACCTTTCTTGAATCCAGGCTACATACTTGACTATTTCTTCGATCAACTTCCATTATGGTAAAGCCAAA